AGAAGAAGAAGAAGGGAAGCAGAGCAAGAAGACTTTCAAGAGGGCGGCAGGAGGATCACGTCCACAGCATGGAATAGTTCTGGGAAGACGCAAAGTTCCTTCCAACTCTTTTTTGTTGTTGTTGTTGGTTTTGGCTTCGTCTGTCGGCCACGCTCGCGATTCCCTCCTGCGCGTGCCGCCGCCCCTCGGCAACACGGCGGTGGGGGGGAGAGAGGAATAAAACAAAAACGGGACAACTCACAACGCAATGAAACCACAAATTCACCACCACAACCGCTGGTGTCCTCCTGGGAAGCATGTCATTGGAGCCGCGGCAGGTGTGGCACGCATGAACACACGTAGACAAGAGATCGTGCGTGTCCACAAAGTGTGTGTGTGTGTGTGTGTGTGTGTGTGTGAGGGGGGGGAGTGGGAGAGAAGACTTAGCTGCTCACGGCTGTGCGAACGCGCCCCTGCCCCCTCGCATGCATGCACACAGGCATGTGCGTTACTGTAGTCTCTTTGCGGCCTTCTGCTGGTCGTAGCGATCGGTCATCCAGTCCCACTGTGCCTTGGCGCCCTGGCGGTCCACAAACAACGCCAGAACAGCCGAAAGGCAGCAGAACACAAGCCCGTAGCGGTAGATATTCGATTGGTACTTCACCCACGTCGACATCGATATCTGGCTGTGTGTGAGTGTGTGTTTCTTTTTTTAGCGTTCAATAAACGATCCGTCCAATACGCACTTGGTCTTTTTTTTTTTTTTGNTTTTTTTTTCTCCCCTTTGCCTCTGAGAGTGAATATGCTGAGAGACGCACATGTGTCCAGAGAAAGAAAGAAAAGAAGTGGGAATGGCGGCCACTCACAACAACGCAGCGTCCTTCCAACGGCAGACACAGACACACACAGAGAGAGCGAGGGGAGGGATGCGGTAAGAAAAGGGGGTGGGAGAGCGGCTGGGCCGTTCAGTCATTGTTGAGCAGGCGGTTTGCCTCCATGACCTGTGCCGCCATCGATTCATGCGCGGCGTCGCCAAGCTTCGGCACACCGCGGAGGTACAGGTGGTCGCCCGCGTCGATCGGGCAGAGTGCGCGCAGTGCGAAGAAGCCGTCCGCCTTCAGCTGCAGCGCGTCCATCGCGCGTGCCGCCTCATCCGGCAGGAAGAGCTCGCGGCACTGCTGCGCCAGCTCGCTGCTGCCGTTGTAGGGGAAGTACTGCACGACGGTGTTATGCGAGCCGTCCTCCACCTGCGGCACCGCGTCAATGAGCGGCATGAGCGTCGGCACGAACATGTCGTCCGCCTTCGCCTTGAAGAAGGTCGTGCCGGGGATGAAGCGGCGGATCGCGTCCGCCTCGATCGGCACCGCGCGGAGGTGCAGCGCGGCGAAGCTGCGGAAGACGTGCTCGAGGAACACCTCCGGCTCCTCGCAGGCGTCGGTGGCCATCTCGCTGAAGTAGTGGTCGACGAGGCCGCTGGCGTCGCCGCGCTCCTTCGACACACCGTTGGCGATGCCGTCGCGGCCACGAGTGTCCTCGAGCAGCCAGTGCACGTACGGCGTGAAGCGGCTCTCCTCCAGCGACGCGATGCGGCACATCCAGCCGGCCATGACCATCTCCGCCACCGACGCGCCGCGCAGGAAGCTGCAGCGCTCGTCGTAGTTCATCCAGTTCACCTCCAGTGGGAAGTTGTGCGTCGCGGCGCCGCTGTTGAGGTTGTACATCTCCCTCGCCACGACGAGAAAGTTGAAGCAGGCGCTGTGCGGGCATGTGATGATGGCCTGGCCGGGCCGCAGGTGCTGCGCCGCTCGCAGGCAGCGGGCGTAGTGCATCGACGACACCACCTTCACGTTGTTGTGTCCGCGCACGTGGTTGGCTCTGCACCACGCACGGAACGCGTCGACGGTCTCCTGCCGGTACAACCATGTGCCAACCTCCTTCAGCATGCGCGGCGTCTTGGCGGTGTCGCGGTGTACCGGGAACGCAATGCGCCGGCGTGCAGACACGCGCAGCATCTCCCCAGCTGGATCTGTATGTTTGCGTATATGTGTTCACGTGTGTGTGTGTGTGTGTGTGTGTGTTGTCTGGAGTTGGCCTTGCTCAATTTCCGCTACCTGTGTGTCGCACGCACAGACACATATATACACAGAGACGCGCACGCACCTCCAGGTAGGACGGCGGCAGCGGAAAAGAAGGCCCAAAGAAAACGATGGGAAGCAAAGCAAAATATATATATATATATATATATATAGAGATTTTTTTTTTATGTGGTGGGTGAAACAGGCACAGCACGCCTGTAGTAATAACTGCAGCAGCAGCAGTAGAAGAAGAAACTTCTTCTCTTGTGGGCTCTTTCCAGACATTCTCACACATCTGTGCATATATACACGCACAGAGACACATACACCGCATTTGTACTCACTCTCTCTCTCTCTCCTTCATTCTTTACTTCTATTCGTATTCTAGAGGGCAGATGTATACATTCACACTGCAGCCAGAAGCCATGGTGTCACTGCGAGTGTACATATGTGGGGGTTCTCACACAAATGAAATGTCGTCCTTTACATCGAGAGGAGAGCAGATAAATTCAAACACACACACACACACACAGAGACATACACAGAAATACACGCAAAAACGGAAACGTGTACATGCCACTGGTTATTTGATTGGTGGAAGCGAACAGCTACTCGGCGTGTGCCGCAGTGAGGCTTCTCCTGCCGCCGTTGTTGTTGCCGCTGTTGCTGCCAATGCGTGCTGCGTAGCCTCAATGAAGGCGCGCAGCTGCCGGATCTCTGTGCGGTTGTTCTCCAACTCCCGCGGCGGTTCTGGTCGCTTCGCCCCCAGCGCACCGCTGGATGACAGCGGGTTGCCGCGGCTCGACGCGACGACGCTCTTGTTGCCCTGCTCCATTCGGTTGCGCCGCTTCGCCTCGTCGGCGGCCGCCACGGAGAGGTTGCGCAGCTCGGCGGTCTCCGAGCGCAGCTCGTGGATCTCGCGGATGAGCGCGAGGTTCTCCATCATCATCGTCGACACCTCACAGCGGTGCTGCTCCTGGTCCGATTTGCACTTGCGCCGCAGCGCCTCGAAGGAGGTGCTCAGGTACTCCAACTGCGAGCGGAACTCGTCTTTGATCTCCTGGTCGACCTGCGCCGCGCGGTGGCCGTCGCGCGCAACGACGTGGCGCTGGTAGAGCCGCTCCACCACCTCGCGCAGCTGCGCGGGGTCCTGCATCGCAGGCGCAAGCTCGCCCACATCCGTCTTGACGCGGCTTTTGTACGTCTCGAAGTCCTTCATGTGGTTGAGTGTCTGCTTGATCTGCACCTGCTGCTGCGTGAGATCGGCCTTGAGCTCCTCGATGCTCTGCCGCAGTGTGATGTTGCTCTGGTGGAGGTTCTCCAGCTCCGTGTTCTTCTCGCTGATGCGTTTGTGCTCGCGTGCAATCTCGCGCTGTCGCGGCTCCATCTGCGACTTGAGCTGGCGGATGCGGTAGTCAAGGACGAATTTGTGCTTCTCAAGCTCCTGGTTGAGCTTCTTCAGATCGTATATGCGTTTCTCCTTCTCGCCAATGACGACGTCGCGTGACTCAATGTCTTGATGAAGTTGCGTCATGCGCTGGTTCAACTCACCGAGCTGCGTCGTCAGTGCCGTCTTGGCGCTCTCCAGTATATGCAGCTCGTTAGTGTGCACCTCCGCTTCCTTCTCCATGCGCACGGCGTTCTTGCGCATGATGGCGCCCTCGCCCTTCATGTGTAGGTACCGCTCACGTATCGCGTCGAGCTCCCGCTTGTTGCGCTGCTGAATGCTATAAAGCTCTGCGTCTGTGTCAAGTTCAAGGCGTCGGCGCGACTCCACGTTATTTTCCTTGGCGCGCTGCAGCTGCCGCTCGAGCTTCTCTAACCCCTTGCGTCGCTTCGCCACGACGTCGTTGAAGCGCTCCTCGTCCTCGCGGCGATCGCGGTCAATCTGCTCCTCCAGATCCTGCACCTCCTGCGCGTACTTGTCTTTGCTGCCGTCGAGTGTTCGCTGGAGCTCGGTGCAGAGGTCATCGAGTGCCTGCACTTCCCCCTGTCCCTCGCGCTCCACATCCTCGAGCAGCGGCGCCGCCTCCGCCTCCTTCTCCATCTTCACGGCAACAAAGGAGCGCTCTTGCTCCGCCCTGGCATTCCACAATGCGGCGTACTCCGCGTCGAGGGCGGCCACCTCGCTCTTGAACTCGTCGGCGCGCTCCCGCAGACGGGTATTCTGTTCGTGGTTGCGACGCTTCTCCTCTCCCTCGATCTCAGTCTTAAGTTTCGCCGTCATGTGAGTCAGGCTCTCGATGGCAATCTCGCGATCCTCCACATCAGTTGCCAGCACGAGGACTTCGTCACCGTAGTATCCGGTCTCGCGTTGGGTGGTGCGTCCATCCTCGCGCACATCAAAGATGAAAAGTGCGCCATCGCTGCTGACAGTGTAAACGGTGCTCTCATCGTACGAGAGGGCCATACGCGTGACTTTGCTCATGTGCGCCACCACCGGTACATCCTGCACGCCAACCTGAAGAGGGAATGTCATGAACTTGATAGAGCCGTCATCCATACCACCGAACAACAGCCGCTGTTTCGGGGCGACCAAAATTGCTGTGATCATGTTGTCGCGGAACTCGTATTCGGTGGTGGTGTTTGGGGAATTACCAGAAGTCTCAGTGGTGATGAAGCGGTCCATCTCACGCAGGGTCGCCTTGGACTGAACATCCGCAATAGCTGATGCTGGTTCACCAACGGCCCATATGTTCTTCTCATCAGAGGCGATGACGTGATACTGGTAGCGCTTATCAGCATGCTCTGTCTCCTTTCGCATTTCACTGATATTCCAGTTGATGATGAGGCCATCGAGGGAGCAGGAGACCATGCCGTTGTCGGTGGGATATGGTGAAGTGGCGGACCACTGAAAGCAGTGAATCTTCTGCGGGTGGCCGCGCAGCTGTCCATGTACATCGCAGGTGAGAGAGTTATAAATGTGGATCAGGTTACCATGCGCCAGTGCAAAGTACTTCCCGCCGACGGAGTACTTCACATCTGTCACATTGCGGAGGTTCAGCACGCGGTGCTCGTGGAGGCAATTCCAGAGGATGCTCATGACGCGAACTCTATCGTGGAAGCATATCACCACGTATAGGCCATTGGGGTGGATGGCGACAGGGCCGGGCTGTGTGGAAAAGTACTGGCACATCTCCAGCCGATGCGTGTTGGTGTTCCATATACGCACGCTCTTGTCCGCACCGCTTGTGACGAGAAACGGTCTCCGCACGCTGCAGGCCACGCCGATGATGCCACCAACGTGGAACGGCTGGCAGATGGGTAGCATCGGCGGTGGATCCTCAATCGAGCGCTTCGCCCATGACTGGGAAAAGTTAAATCCAAGGATCTGTCCACCGTGCGTCACCAGCACCATAGTCTCCTCCAAATGATCAAGCGCGAGACGCACCACACTGTTTGCCCGACGCATTTCTGTGCGCCCTGATTCGTTTCGCGCTTGTGTTTCGGGCATGTTCTCTAGCGTAGCGGCCGAAGCTCTCGGCGGTGTTGACGGATTCATCTGAAATAGCGGTTTCGCACTTTTTACTGCCGGATTCGCAGCCGGAGCATCAGGCCCAGCGGCAGCACCTGAAACAGTAGGCGAAGCAGCTTGAGGAGTGGTGGTGGTGGTGGGACTAGACGTTGTTGTAGCATTTGTATTCACCCCTCCTCTCGTCGCACCATTGCCAGACGCACTTCCTTTAACCTGGCCTTCATCCTCCAGCGGCAAAGGCACATTATACACAATGGCGTATTCATCACTTTGTGGGTCTCCATTCTCGTAAATGGCGATTGTACCTTGGTCGCTGCCGGCAACAAACCCGCCCTTGCTTGCCACAATCGTCAGCACAGTTGAGTTCTCCGACTGTGCCACCGTGGGTGGTGGCACTGGCAGCAGCCGCCTATAAACACCCTGTTCAACGAGCAGCAGCTCACCGCTCTGCGTCGATGCCACCAGGCGTTCGCCTGTGATCCACGCATGGGTTAGGAAGTTGTTCGTACGTTCATTCGGGTAGCCGGTTGACGGCTGCATCTGCAGCGCACCGTCCACGTAGCGGTAGAAGCGTATTCTTCCCAGACCTGACACGGCTATCAGCAGCGGGTCCTGCGGACAGATTGTCGCACACGACACCGGCGACGTCAGTGCTGCTGCGCCGTGTTGCTCCTTCCCACGTGAGCCGGACGCAGACGCAGAGACGGAGGCACCTGGCAGCGTGTCCTCCTCCTGAAAAAGGTCGGCAATCACAGAGGTGAAGGCAAGCGGCTTTGAGCGCTCCCAATTCCAGTAAAACAACTTCCACTGCGGCCCGCCGCCCTGTGTCACGAGGTGACGACCATCAGCGCTGAAGTCCAGTGCAACGAAGCGATCGCTGCCGAGGTCCTGCACATTCAGCACCTTGCGGCGTTTTCGTGTGACGGAGTCAATGATCTGAACCTGCGGCACAATACCAGCCTCAGCGATTGCAATGAACTTCTTGTTTGCACTAACCGCCAGCGCCGTCAAGCCACTACTGCGAATCCCTGCGTCAAAGAAGCGCTGGGTGTTAGTGTTGAGGTTGTGCACGGCCACTGTTTTCCCCACAGGATAGATGACAGACCCCTCCTCCACCCAGTTGAGGCATCCGTACACATCCGGTTTGACGCCAAACACGTGCCGTTTCACGAGACTACGACCAGTCCCTTCCTTCTGCTCCAGAGATGACATGTTCCTCTCCACTGCTGATGTGTGTGCAGCAGCGGGTATGGATGTGGGTGGGTAGGCCAGGTAGGCGTATGGTGTTTATGTGCGAGTGAGCGAAAGTAGAAACAAGAGAGAAACAAAAGCAATAAGGGTCAATACAGAGATGGAACAAACAAAACGAAAAAAAGAAGAATTAAACTTGGCGCAAGATTAGTGGAGAGGGATTCTTCTTTTCACACCTGTTTCGTCTCTCACAAGGAACCTTGTGTGATTGACCCGATTCGCCAAAGAACGCGGACTCCCTCTTGTTTCCCCTCGCCTAGTCCATTCCTCCACTGGTCCTCGCGCCCCCACACACACCTCTCTTTGCGGAGGTGTGAGCGGCAGCAACAATCCGAGATGCAGAGTATTCTGCTTCAAGCTGCCACAGTGAGGTTGGCAATGATTTACGCCCAAAGAGTACGAGCGAAAGATTGCACACCACACACGCACCCTCCCCTTCATTTCTCAATCTATGTGATGTTCGAGCCCCCTTCATGCAGGCTTTGCGTGTTTGTACTTATCACCGACGAAGTAGAAGACACCACGCGCCAATTCATCTGGCAGCTGTCGAAACGCTAAATGGCACGGAATCTCCTTGATATCCTTATTGCGGTGTTTAACGTCTGCAAGGTACTGCGGCACTGACTGGCCCGATTCCTGAAGCTCCTGAATGATTGACTTGAGTGTGCGAAGCGCGTGATCGTTGGGGGGATAGTCCTGGCCTGTATCCATGTACTCACCTCGAACAAAGTCGTCCACGAGAATGGCGTTGCCGTTGCAGTTGCGCACACTCAATGGGCGGTTCTCCACAATAAGTGTGTCCTCTAGCGGGCGCTTCAGCCAGAGGGCATTCTTCTCGTAGTAGTTATCCTGCGTGAACCAATCGCTGTGACGTACAATGTACTGCGAGATGCGTATTCCGGCGGGGTCGATAACGCTGAGCACCTGCCGCATATACCGCTCGCTGCACGCCGACCACAGCACAACCTCTGCATCGATCTCAGTGAGGTAGTCCAGCAGCTCCGCCAGGTACGGTCGCGGTATCATGCCCGCTTTCATGCGAAACGCCTTGTCACCGTACGATATAATTGTTTCATCGACATCCAGTACGATTGTCAGGCGACTACGATATGCCTTCTTCTTGGGGCCAATGAGGCCCAAGGCCTTCTTTTGTTTCTCCTGCATTTGCCATAGCTTCGATCCCGCCACAGCCCCCACAACTATGGTGCCAAAAAGATAGTACCGCATGCCACGGTCCTTCAGCATGCGCTGCCAGTATTCCTTCAGCCGCCTCGCGCCGTAAAAGCGGTCATCGGTGTAGTCCTTCCACGCGTTCTCCTTGTTGGCGTACATGTGGATGCTAGACTGGCCACTCGCGAAGACGTTGCTGTTGCTGGGGCCCTTCTTCCTGCTTGGTGGGAAGGCGTGCGGCTGCAGGCGGTTCGACTCCCCCAACGGGTTCCACGCTCCCGGGGCGCTGCGGCCGAGGCGCCGCCAACACTGACGGTACATGTGACGATACGCACCGCAATTAGTTCAATAGATGCAGAGAGGGACTTGCTGCCGCTTGACGGTGTGTGTGTGTGTGTGTGTGTGTGTG